GTACGGACCGTACTTATGTATGTACTTATGTACGTACGTATAAGCGTTTGCATTTTATTCTTGTTATATACTATATTATCACAAAGATTTTTGATTGGTAAATGTCTATGATTACAGCATAAAATAGAGACATGTTTAGCCGATTTAATTATACACAATGAAATAAATAGGAATTAAATATAATAATAGATATTCTTTTTTTTTGTACCAAACATTTTTTTTTAGAAAACAATCGCTTCATTCCGTTGCATACATGTCATTTTGTTGAATTCATATGGTTGGAGAATGACCTTCAAAAGTAATAAGTGAAGAATTAATATTTCCATTATAGACTTAGGGGTATTTGAAATTTGGAAACAAGATAAAATAGAGTATTTATCGTTTCAGCCAACTGCAATAAGTAACACGATAGAAAAGACGTTAAAATAACCAAAATAGCCAATGAAAAAGCATCTAAAAATACAATCATGCACTATTAGTATTTATTAGTGGAACACAGTTTAAAAAAAAACGAAAAGCCACGCGAACAACACATTTATCCATAACCAGAGTGCAACAAAGTCCACGCATGTAAGCAAGAATAACTTGTTTTTTCCATACTCTTTAGGTAAGTAGAACGTCATTGCACGACGTCGGCATGAAACTTTAGGAAAATCATGGGGGAGCGACCCGAATCATTCTAAAGAATGCGCAGCAAAAGTTTAAACGAGTTTTTAACGGGTATATTTAGTTAGTAGCTAGTTAGTAGCATCTCCGAATCATACCGATGTCGATAGATTTAGGAATAGATTTAGGAACAAAGAGAAAAAAGGCGCCAATTGTTATTCGGTTAGTAGCCTTAAAGTAAATGATGCTATCACAGGTAAAGGTCAGGCAGGATATACGTAGGTACGCACGTACTTGCGTTCGGATATTATGTTCAAATTTAATGATTATCCCATCGTTTTTATATATTTCTCCTTCATGTCTTTGTGTCAGAATTTTTTAACAATGTAAATTGTTCTGTACTACTTTTCTATTGTTTGTGGCGTAGTCTAATAACAATCTTTATCTGAATATTTTTTGAATATATAATAAGTGAAAATATTTAACTTTTAGTTATCGTTTATGCGTTTTGGTTAATTATTATTATCGTTATATGCACAGTATTTATTCACATCTTAATCTAGACTCGAATCGTCAAGCGTGGAAAAAAAAGTTTCACACGCAAAGAGTTTAAAACTAGTTTTATACTAATAGATGATTTTTATTATATATACATAGAAAATATATATTTACCGTAATTTACCGTAATATATATGATTTAATGGGCAAATCCTTTCCATACATATAAAAAAATAAATTTCCGTTGGTTTTTTATCTACTGATATTTAATTTTTGAAAGGAACATTTTTTTTTTTTTTTTTTTTTTATTCAAACATCTCCTAATTCGTTAAAATCTTGTGTACCCCTTAGTATTCGTCTCTTGAAATTTATAAAGTTTTGAAACAAATCCAATTTGGGGTTTTCATTTTCATGCGGATAAAGTTTTTCGTGTGAATATCTTTCTTCTGGTTCCTTATCTATATTGTTTTTGAATAAACGGATATAAGTATCTTTTGAACCTTTTTACGTTAATTTATTTTTTGTTGGTCAAATCCAAAATTCAATACTCGTTGTAAATATGGACGCCCTTCACTTCAAAGTTGACCACCTTAAGTTATTATGGTCAGAGTATCGTTCTGCCAACGAAGGTCTCGGCAGAGATTATAGCGATCACTCGGAGTGGGCGCGTGAAAAACTGCAGGTACTGTTTTATTTCTTTTAAAGTCTTTTCATGGTTGCTTTGATCTCAGCTTCTAAATCATGCTCTGTGTAAAAAAAAACTTAGGCAGTATTATCAGAATTTGACAAACTTATTCAAGAACAAATTCTCTGGAAATCTTCTCTTTTGGCTGAAATAGAGGACCTGCTGGTACTTTTAATTTTCATGTATTTAATATGATTTTATTTTTATTGCTAACATGACTATTTTTTTTTTTTTTAG